GGGAGCCCGATGTGGGACTCGATCCCAGGACCCTGGGATCATGACCTGAGCCGAAGGCAGTCGCTTAACCAACTGAGCCACCCAGGCGCCCCAGTGGTGTTGATTTTTTAAAGATTTTATTTATTTATTTGACAGAGACATAGCGAGAGAGGGAACACAAGCAGGGAGAGTGGGAGAGGGAGAAGCAGGCTTCCTGCTGAGCAGGGAACCCTGTGTGGGGCTCGATCCCAGGACCCTGGGGTCATGACAGCCGAAGGCAGATGCTTAATGACTGAGCCACCCAGGTGCCCCAGTGGTGTTGATTTAAAAAAAAAATAAAATAAAATAAATAATTAAACAAATTTTGATTTCTTTCAGATTTTATCAAAACAGGATGAAACAATAATATCAATACTCATTTTATCTCAAAGTGGTACACATTTTCTGCATAGTTAATAACTTATTTAAACTTATGATTAATTAAAAGCAGTAAATATATGATTATAATGTGTGAGAGGGTCCCTAAGTTTTTGTCATTTATTTTAGGGGAAATGTGAGAAAAAAGAGGACATATGCTTTATTTATTCGAAACCACAGGTGACTAGGTTAGTGAAAGAGAGATCTATTGCAATTCAGAGAATTTTGAGAACTGAGAGAGTGACTTGAAACACAGCACACCTGAAAGAAACCAGTGATGGTTGATGGAGAAAAGATATGACATTATCTTTCTGGGTTAAACTGAGAGTAATGTAGCTACAGAATTTTTATATCACTTTAGGTTTACAGAGCAAGTATTTATGAGGAGAATTGATTGTATTCTAAAAGTCCAGAACATTTGCAATATAATTACACTTGACCTTTTCAAGAACAACAATACTTAACTCCCTAAAGCTTCCTTTCTTATCCATCTGGATCCTCGATTTAATCACCTAAGTGATTTGCTTCAAGTTCCTGTCCCTCTGACCTGCCTGGTACGATTACAACCATGGACCAATGCTATAATCTCCCTTTTCCTTTCTTATACCTAGGTAGGGCTGAGGGTGCTGGGAATGGGGAAAATCACAAACTTAGACCGTGACAGTACCAATATAGGATCTATAATCACAGTTGAGCTGTTCACTCCTTTCACATATCCTTGGACAACTTTTTCTCTGATTTCTTTTGTGTTACTTCCTTGCCTTTGTGTATGTAGCTGTCTTTCTGACTGTAATGCCTTTTCCCCCTTTCTTCATGAATTTATCCTTCAAGGCTGCTCAGGAACAGGGACAGGACTAGGATAAGTGAGGTATTCCCTGGATGCAAAATGGAAGGGGACACCAAAAATTCAGTAATCAAGAGAAATAACACTTTTATGCAATATTTTTCAAAAACTAAAATGAATGCAAAATACTCATGATGAATAAAATACCAATATTTTGTATAATTCATCTCACCTCACCCGAATCTCACCCCTCTGGATCCTGTCTTTAGTTAACTACAGTTTTGATATTTGGTTCATTGTGGGTTTTGTGCATAAATTTTCATGTTTTGAAATATTGCATTATTATTTGTCTAGATTACTGAGGTTTTTTGAGTCCCCCTCCTACATTTTGTGCTAGAGGAAAGTGCCACACTTACCTCACCATAGTCCCAGCCCTGCTCAGGAATCCCCTCCTTCAAGAAATCTCCTACTTAGAATAGGATATTTGTAGTTCCCATTTGTCTTTGTGACAGTTTCTATTCCAATTTAATTGAGTTTAGGTTTTTATTTCAAAACTCTTAGTAGCAATTGACTTTCCACATAAAAACATGCTGTTCCATGATATCCCAGAGACATTTATTGAAACCTAGAGTTGCACGTCATGAAAATCAGGCCACATCTGGGCGACTAATATTTAGTGACTGACTACTATGATTCTAAGTGTGCAGTCAGTGGGAAATTGTACCAAATCTTTCACAGGGCTTTTTAATGTTAGCTCTACTTTCTTGCACTTCTCAAAGGCTACTTTGCAGAATACAGTATCATGCTTTTTACAAATAGAATTCTATTTAAGGTCTTGTAAGCATGAAATTATATTTTAAAACCTTTTTTTGCTTTTAGTAATTACATAAAGAATGCATGTTCAGTGTAGAAAAAAGTAGAAGGCAGGAGAAAAACACAAAAGAGGAAAATGCTCCCTTGTCTTATCATTCAGACTTAAACCACTGTCTACATTTGGGTGTGTATATGTTCATCCAGTCTCTTTGCTGTGCATAGTTATTTTTAAGTTTATATCTTTTTTTAAGGGTTTTATTTTTTATTTATTTATTTTTAAAGATTTTATCTATTTATTTGAGAGAGAGAGCACAAGCAGGGGGAACAGCATAGGGAGAAGGAGAAGCAGGCTCCCTGAGCAGGGAGCCCGATGTGGGGCTTGATCTCAGGACCCTGGCATCATGACCTGAGCCAAAGGCAGATGCTTAACCGACTGAGCCACCCAGGTGCCCCTAAAGATTTTATTTTATTTTATTTTATTTTTTAAAGATTTTATTCATTTATTTGAGAGAGAGAGAGAATGAGAGAGAGCACATGAGAGGGGGGAGGGTCAGAGGGAGAAGCAGACTCCCTGCAGAGCAGGGAGCCCGATGTGGGACTCGATCCAGGGACTCCAGGATCATGACCTGAGCTGAAGGCAGTCGCTTAACCAACTGAGCCACCCAGGCGCCCTAAAGATTTTATTTTTAAGTAATCTCTACACCCAACCTGGGGCTGAACTCACAACCCTGAGATAAAGAGTTGCATGCTCAGAGCGCCTGGGTGGCTCAGTCGGTTAAGCATCCGACTCTTGATTTATGCTCAGGTCGTGATCTCAGGGTGGTGGGATGAAGCCCCGTATGTATCAGGCTCTGCACTCAACAGGAAGTCTGCTTGAAATTCTTGCTCTCTCTCCCTCTCCTCCTACCCCCGCTCATGCACATATGCACACTCTCTCTCAAATAAATAAATCTTAAAAAAATAAATGTATAAAAAAAGTCTCATGCTCTACCAACTGAGTCAGCTAGGCATCCATTAGTTTACATGTTTTTAATAAAAATGACATACCATGCATACTGCTCTGCAACATGCTTTTTCTATGTAGCAGTTAATTGTTGACATTTTCCAATGTGAACAGATACTCTACAACAAAATTTGATGGCTGCATAGTATTCCATTAAATGGACATATCATAATTTATGCAACCAGTCCTTTGTTTTTGCTTTTAGACCTGCAGATTGTTTCTAGTTTTTTACTAAACTGATCACATTTTAAATGAATTATTTTCTACCCTCATTGAGTACTTGTTCTCTCTTTCCTGCAAATTTTCTTTCAACTCCAGAATTGATGGACTTAGTATAAGGGATGTGAGGCTCATGAAAATAATTTTTATAAAATATACTTTGACACAAATTACATTTTTAAAATATATAGTTTGTCATTAATTTCATCATCATAGCAGGCTAATAGTTCTGATAATTCCTAAATACTGTTCTCTTTATTTTGAATAAGTAAAACATCTCATTTTGGTCTCTGTTAAAACAGAGAGTAAGAATCTTCTTATTTTAGATTCGAATGCAGGCCCAGGGGAGTTTGTTCCAGGGCAGCATGATCGGCAGCTTCATTGATATATACCAACAGGAAGGTACCAGGGGTCTGTGGAGGGTGAGTACTCTTTTCCTGGTATTATTTTATGCCCATTTCCTATACTTTGCAAAGAATACTTTTTATATAGAGCCCTATAATTATGAATTGTCATCTTACACTGTTTAAGATTCTTGGTAACCCAGAAGATAAGGTAAGAAACTTCTTATCACCTATGAAAGGACCAAAACTTACCAGTTGTCTTTATTTCTGCTTAATGTTTGGGGGTTGTGTGAGAGAAGGTTATTATATTATTTGAGGTAGTCATTTGGTTTGCTCAAATTGACAGTGAATTTAGTTCTTCAATATATATTTTTGCTAGTTTTGTACTAACACAGCAGTATATGTTTATGATAGTCTCAGTTTACCTAAAACAACTTTTTTAACCTTATAGAGAGTAAAAATTGTACTATAAAATTTTGAGATCTATAGAAGAGAAAAAACCCAGTAGTCTCAGTAGCTAGAGATAATCACTGTTAACTTTTTATCATATTATCTTCCAGTTTTTTATCTATACTCCTTTTTTATTGTTGTTCCTATAACTTTTTATCTTATTTTAATCACTTAATATTGTAATACTAAGTAAGACTACTAGTAGAATATGCAGAGAGAGTAGAATGGGAAATCCATTAATAAGCTCTTAAAGAAGAGAGCTTTGTTTTTTTCTTCCTTTATATTTTCCCCCAACTTCCTATAAAAATTTTCAAACATACAGAAACGTTGAAAAGAACAGAATATACCCAGATTAAATGACTGTTATAGTCTGGCTATATTTGCTTTATCTGTGTGTATGTGTATACACAGATAAACACACACACATTCTTTGTTTTTTGTGTTTCTTTTTTTGTTAAACTATTTGAAAGGAAGTTGCAGACATCCTGGTACTCTCCTAAATAGTTCATTATGCATCTCCTAGGAATAAGGACATTTTCCTACATAGTAATACATAATAACAATATCATTATCACACCTAAGAAAATTAACAAGTCCCTAATACGTAACATCTAGTTTATATTCAAATTTCCTTTATTGATGAGACCAGGCCAATTTTCTTACAGAATGTTTCCCCTGTATTTCCTGCAAACTGGAAGTTAGGTCTGTTGGCTTGATTAGATTCATATTAAACATTTTGGTGTGAGAACTTCATAGGTGACACTGTATATTTCATATTGCATCACAGCATGAAGCACATGTTAGGTTGTCCCACAATTAATGATGCTGAATTTGATTACTTGGTAAGACAGTGTCCACCAGATCTCACCATCGTAAAAGATTTAAGTTTTCTCACTTTGTAATTAGCAAGTAATCTGTAGGATGACATTCTAGCAATATGCATATATCCTGTTATTTAATAACCTTTCACCTAATGGTCTTAGCATCCATTAATGATCCGTGAGGTTTGCTTTTTGATAACAGGGTGCACTTTCTTGATTAATTTAAAACCAGAAAATGGGCCTAACTAGAAATTTTTCACAAACTAATGCTAAGGGAAAGACAAAGAGCAATAAACACAGCAGGGAGATTTTGTCAGGGGAAAATAGCTACTTTATTTTTAATTAAAAATTTTAATTGTGGTAAAATACATATAACATAAAACTTACCATCTTAACCATTTTTAAGTATATAGTTCAGTAGTGTTAAGTACATTTACGTTGTTGTTCAGCCAGTCTCTGGAACTCTTTTCATCTTGTAAAATTGGAACTCCATACCCATTAAACAACTCCTCCCCATTTCCCCCTGCCCCTAGCCCCTGGCGACCATCCTCCTATCTGTCTCTATGAATTTGGCTTTTCTGGGTACCTCATGTAAGTGGAATCATACAGTATTTGTGTTTTTGTTACTGGTTTATTTTACTTAGCATAATGTCCTCCAGGTTCATTCATGTTGTCACATGTCCTTCCTTTTTTAAGGCTGAATGATCTTCCATTGTATGTATATGCCACATTTTATTTATCCCTTCATCTGTTAATGGGCATGTAGATTGTTTCTGTATCTTGGCTCTTGTGAATTATGCTACTCTGAATATGGGTGTGCAAGTATCTCTTCAAGACTCTGATTTTAGTTCTTTTGTGTATATGCCCAGAAGTGGGATTGCTGGATCATATGGTAATTCTGTGTTTAATATTTTGAGGAACAGAGCATAGCTACTTTTATGATCCAGGCTGCTCACATCATCCAGGCATGTAAGATAAAGAAGTGAAGTACATTGTGTTATGTGTTCTTTTGACACAGACATGTATCATTTGCATGTTAAAATACAGGAATATTTTTTCATTTCAACAAGGAAATAGGTTTGCATTTTTCTTCAAACACATGGTCTTCTTTGTTAGTGTTTTATTTTTCTGCTTTGATTTTCACATGGGTGGGTACTGGAAACATTTTATTTTCTAACTCCATTGTAAGAAATAACAGCACAAGTGCAGTAACAAAGTGTAACTGGTACTTATATCAGAGTTGGAGAGACTGTAGAGAGTGATGGGGACTCTGGTGAACTGGAGATCACCTGCCCTGTTCATTGCTGTCATGCATGATGGGAATCCAGTGTGGCCAAATTTTCTGGGCTTTCAAGAGAAGCTGGAGATCTTCATTCCTGTGTGAAGTATCCTGTTTTTTATATGTTGACAGGTAATTCATCCTTCTAGAAATACTGTGTAGGCCACACACAACATTTCTGTGGCCTGAATTCGGCCCATGGGCTCCTGTTTGGGGCCTTACTATTCAGCAAGGTTGTCTTCTGTGCAGATCATCTTCTAACACAGTTGAGCAGGTGGAAAGGTCAGAGAGAAAGGCACTGTTGGGCCAGCCAGCCTGATCAGCAGAATCAGACATCTCCTAGTGATAGCACAGCTATATCATTTCCATTTTATAAATTGAGTTTGGCAATTTATAGATGATTGAGCACTTTAATATAACAGGTATCCAAGAAAGCAGTTGTTCCCATGGTGTATTTTCAATTTTAAATAACATTTAAACAGAGTTATAAAAGTTAAACATTCATTGTGAATTTTTTAAAATATAAGAAAGGCATAAAAATAAAAATTAATTTGTTACCCTAATTCCAGATAAAGAAAAATATTTTGGTATATTTTCTTCTAATCCTTTATAAAAATTTGGTGTTTGTGCATAATATCCTTTTCCCCAAAGTTAGAATAATGCTATGTCTTGCCTTCTTTAATGTTACCAGCATTTTCTTGTGTCATTAATATTCTTCAAAAATGTGACTTTTAAAGTTCTAGCAGCCCTGTGTTGTAACATGATTTGTGATAGGGGTATTCTGCTAGTGAGTGAAATGCTGATAGCATCCACAGGAGGACTGCTTTGCCTTTCCTTCTTCCTGGCTGCATTATACCTTTGCTGTCATCCTGGTGTGTCTTTTCTGCATATCCTAAAATTCTGTAAATTAAACTTGGAAGCTCTCCTCTCTCCACTGACTTTTGCTTCATGGTTTTATTTTTTTTAATAACATCTTTATTGAGATAATTTGCATACCGTAAAAATCACCATCTTGAAGTGTGTAATTTTAAAAGATTTATTTATTTATTTTGGAGAGTGAGTGTGTGCGTGCATGCAAGAGACAGAGAAGAGTACATGTGGGCACGTGAGCAGAGGATGAGGGAGAGAGAATCCTAAGCAGACTCCCCGCTGAGCAGGGAGCCGGACGCAGGGCTTGATTTCATGGCCCTGAGGTCATGACCTGAGCTGAAATCAAGAGTTGGACACTCAACTGACTAAGCCACCCAGGTGCCCCTTGAAGTGTGTAATTTAATGGTTTTTAGTTTATTTACAGACTTGTGTAACCATCACCAATGTGTAAGTTTAGAACATTTTCATCACCACTAAAAGAAACCCCCTATCCATCAACAATCACTTCCATGTCTCCCAACCTTCCCAGCCCTAGACAACCACTAATCTACTTTCTGTTTCTCTAGATTTGCCAATTCTGGCATTTCATATAAATGGAATCATAAAATATATGGCATTTGTGACTGGCTTCTTTCATTTAGCATACTGTTTTCAAGTTTCATCTGTGTTTTAGCATTTATCAGTACTTCTTTTTATAGCTGAATAATAATTAATTGGTGTGAAATTGCTAAGTCATATAGTAATTCTGTATTTAACTCCTTGAGGAATTCCCAAAGTATTTTCCACAGTGGCTGCCCCCCATGTTACATTCCCACCAGCAGTGTATAAGGGTTTCAGTTTCTCCACATCGTCACCAATACTTTTTATTATTATTATTATAGCCATCCTACTGGTGTGTAGTAGTATGTCATTGTGATTTTGATTTGTCTTTTCTAATGACTGATGATGTTGAACATATTTTCTTAATGCTTATTGTCCATTTGTGTATCTTCTTTGAGGACATGTTTATTCAGATATTTTGCCCATTTTTAAATTGGGTGGTTTGTCTTTTTATTGTTGTTTTGTAAGAGTTCTTTATACATTCTGGCTACTAGCCCCTTATCAGATATATGATTTGCAAGTATTTCCTCCCATTATGTGGGCTGTCTTTTCACTTTCTTGGTGATACCCTTTGAATCACAAAAATGTTTAATTGTGATGAAGTCCATTTTATTTTTGTTTCTTTTGTCACTTGTGCTTTTGGTGTCATACCAATGATTTTATTTTTAGTACAGTAAGTGAATTGGGATTTATAAGTGTTCCACTCTTAGCCACTGATTTGAAAGGATGACCTCTGTACTTCAGACTTGGATTTTTATGTCACTTTGTAACTTCCAACCTATTTTGTTCACTTTTAGACTTATGTTACTACTTGTGTATTTCTTTGGTGTGTAATACCACTTATGTTTTGCAGGGTGTCGTCCCAACTGCTCAGCGGGCTGCCATCGTTGTGGGCGTGGAGCTACCGGTCTATGATATTACAAAGAAGCACTTAATATTGTCAGGGGTGATGGGAGACACAATTTTAACTCACTTTGTGTAAGTGTGATAGGTTGTACTTGTTCCGTATTTCCATTATTTTGAGCACAAAAAGCATCTTTCACTGAAGTCCTTATATAGAATCAATAATGGGTACAGGTGGTCTAAATACCCCTGTCTTTCTTATCACCAGAACTTCGAGCCTTCCAGTACTTGTACAGAGATCCCAGATGCTATGGGTACTTTGGTACTTGGTAGCAGTGTCTATTACAATAGCTTATCAGATGTCTGTAGGATTTGAATTTGTTCATACACAGCCTCTGTATCTAAACTTATCTGTTATTTGCTCTGGTTAATTATGGATCAGAAAGCAAACTTTTCTCAATGAGAATGAGAAAAAAGTGAAAATTTATAGGGCCTGTGAAACAAAACCACAGTTTTGGGCTGAAAACTGTTGCTAATCTCAATTTACATTCTCTTCATCTTACAACTTTTATGACACTTTACTGCTCAAATGCATTTGGTATATGATGCTGTGGTATGAAAACTTTATATAACTAATAGATGACTTGTGATACTTTCTGCTTAGGGATCTTGCTAGACTTAAAAATTGCTCCCCCCCCCAAAAGGCTGAGTTTTGGATTAAAAAGTGAAGGGGATAAATTTTTTTAAAAAAGATTTATCTATTCATTCTAGAGAGAGAAAATGAGTGAGTGGGGGGAGGGCAGAGAGAGAATCACCAAGCAGACTCCCTGCTGTGCACGGAGCCCAAGGGGCTTGATTCCACAACCCATGAGGTCATGACCTGAGCTGAAACCAAGAGTCAGAAGCTCAACCAATTGAGCCACCCAGGTGCCCCTAACTTTTTTTTAAGATTTTCTTTTCAAGTAAATATGGGGCTCAAACTTACTACCCAGAGATCAAGAGTTGCATACTTTACTGACTGAGCCAGCCAGACATCCCATGGAGATAACTTTTGAGTGATGTTTCTTTAGAAAATATTTCTCTTTAGATTGTAATGAAAGGGCAAGAGCCAGATTTTATCTGATGAGTCTGACTCACTGTACATTTATGCATTTATGTTTGGCTTAATTTCTGTTTAGTCACGGTTGGAAGTGAGGCAGTCTAAAAGTTTTCACCTTTAGTTCCAGCTTTACATGTGGCTTGGCTGGGGCTCTGGCTTCCAATCCAGTTGATGTGGTTCGAACTCGCATGATGAACCAGAGGGCAATCGTGGGACATGTGGACCTCTACAAGGGTACTTTGGATGGTATTTTAAAGGTATACACACTGTAGACTTGTTTTACATTTTTAATTTTCTTTGATATCTCAGACATTCAGTCCTTATTCTTAGTTGCTATGTATCATTTTGAAGATGGAAGAATCATGATGTATATATTTAATAGCCTCTCAGAGTAATTCCCAGGTAGAAAAGCTATCTCTTTGGCAATCTGCTGATACACATTGGTCCTTAATATTATTATTCCAATTTGAATGCTTGAGACTGCAGGATACTTTTATTGATAGTACCATGTAGAATTATTGATAGAAGGGACTTAACATATCCCACATTTGCCTGCTTCAGACAAGACGGAGACCCTGTAGTAGAAAATCCAGTACTCAATTTCAGTTTAGTATTGTGCTGTTGTTCAGACTTTGCCTTTGAAAAGTTTCTGCTCTTATATTTGTAGGAAGCTGAATATCATAAATGTATGATGTAATCACTAGTGATCATCCTTCTACAAAAAGCAAATTTGCGGCTAAAATATGACATTTCCATATGGTTTCTCTGCTGCTATCAGTTTAGTTTAACAACCATTTATTATCTACGAGGCACCATTTTGTAGATACAGAGAAATTAGAGTATACTGCAGGTGTGCAAACAACTAACACAGCTTGGTAAGTGATAAACTCAGGGACCTATGGGAGGGAATTTTAGTCTAATTTGGAAGTTTAGGATAGGCATCTTGAATAATAGTAACTCACGTCCATTGAATGCTTTACTGTGTATCAGAAACTGTCCTAATGAGACTTACATATATTCATTCACTTAATCCTCGTCATTATCCCATGAGGTAGATCCTGAAGCACTAACCTGACCAAGGTTTCACAGCTAGTGGGATTTCAGCTCAGACCATTTGGCTTCAAACCAACATTTTCAAGCTCTATACTATAGTGCTTTTCTCATGTTGATGGCTAAGGGTTAATTAAGTTATAAAGGATATTGAATGCCATGCTGAGGTGCTTGGGCTTTTTTCTTTTTACTTGATGAGGAGCTGTTGAAAGATTTTAATCAAGTCAGATTTGTATTTTAGGTCACTTTGGCTTTGTAGAGCCTGGATCTGAGATAGTGGTTCTCAGTCTTTGATGCACGATTGGAATCACCTGGGGAACTTTTCACAGCTCCTGTGTCTACCTTTTAGACCAGTGAACTCAGAACTTCTGGGGGTAGGACCCAGGTTGAAAGTATTTTTAAAACTCCTCAGGTGATTGCAATGTTCACCTAAGGTTGAAAGTCATTAATTTAAGGGGATAAGCCTGGAGCAGTGGTTCTTAAGACATTAACATGGAACCTAATTACCTGGAGGGCTTATTAAAATGCAGATGGCTGGTTGGGCCCTGTCACCAGAGGCCCCATCACCAGATTCTGATTCAGTAGGTCTGGAGTAGGACCTGAGAATTTGCATTTCTAACAGTTCTCAGGCAATATTGATGCTGCTAATCTGGGTACTACACTTTGAGAAACACTGACTTAGAGATAGGGAAGCTGATTAGAGGGCTTTTATAGTAATCTAAGTTAGAGGCAATGAAGCCTGAACTTGAGCATTGTAGTGGGGATACAGAAGGTGGGATAAAGTTGAGAATAATTTAGTTGATAAAGTCAATAGGATTCGATTGACTGGGTGTGGAGAGGTGTGGGAGAAAGGAGGTGTCAGAGATATCTTCCTGGTTTTTTTGTTTTGGTGACCATGTGGTGATACTCACTGACAGGCATCACAGGAAGAGGAGCAGGTTTTTTGGGAGACAGTACAGTTTTGGACACTTAGTTTGAAGTGCATGAGGAACACCCAGTGGATCTATTTGGATATCTTAGTCTTAACTCGGGGGGAGAGTTTGGGGGTATAGATAGGAGCCTGGGGAATCAGTAGTGTACAGGTGTTACCTAACTGTGGAGGGGAAGACCAAGGAGAAAAGGTAGAGGAATTCCCATCTTTTTTTGCCTTTCTAGCACACTAGAGTATTATGAGCTCCTTCCATTAATAGTGATTCAGAGTGAGTGATTCTCAGACTCTGGGGAGTAGAGTTTGGTAAAAGCCTCTCCTTAATATTTCTGACATGCTTATCCTTCCACGTGACAATTGGTGTAGGGACAAAGGTAGGGCCAAGGAAATAACTCTGGGGAATACCGATTGCTAAGGGCTTGGCAGGTGGGGAACCTAGGAAAGAAACCAAAAGATAACAGTCAAAAGATATGAGGAAACTTGAGTCATGGAAGCCAAGGGAGTAATGAGTTTCAAGAAGAGTACTTATTTAATGCCAACTGGAATAGAGAGATCCCGTATAAGACCTACAAAATATCTGTTGGATTTAATATGCTCTAGAGGAGGTTTGCTGGGTTGGTGTTTGCAAAAGCTAGATTGCATTGAGGAGTGTGTTTAATTATTCATTGAATACAAAAATGTTTAAGTCTTTTTTTAATTATTTATTTATTTGACACAGAGAGAGAGACAGCTAGAGAGGGAACACAAGCAGGGGCAGTGGGAGAAGGAGAAGCAGGCTCCCGGCCGAGCAGGGAGCCTGATGCGGGGCTCGATCCCAGGACCCTGGGATCATGACCTGAGCCGAAGGCAGACACTTAATGACTGAGCCACCCAGGCGCCCCCAAAAATGTTTAAGTCTTAAGTGCCAGGTGCTGTTCTAGTTGGGTGAACAAAAAGTTTCAGCCTTCATGACACGTGTAATAGAGACAGATAAACACATAGGAATCAAGGGTAAGTAGACAAGTGTAAAATGCTCTTTCAAGAAGGTTGGTTAAGAGGAGATAGAAGGCACAATAATAGAGTAATAGGTAGCATTTAGTGAATGCTTATTATGTGCCACACACTGTGGTATATCCTTTAACTCACAGTAACCCTATGGAATAGATATGTTTTCCATTTTTATAAAAAAGGGAACTCAGGTCAGAGTGGCTAAGTATTTACCCAAGATTACACACTTAATAAGTGGCAGATCTGGGACTTAAACCAGATTCTGATTCCAAAGTTTATATAACCACCATGTTATGTTGTATTGGCAGAAACATATTTTCATATTGGCAGTAATCTTTACTTATATTTACTCATTCATTCACTTATTTGCTGTTGAAATTCTTTATAATGACTGCTCTATATTGTCATTATATATAATCACATCATGCTTTATTTTTTTCATCAGTAAGAGTCCCAGAGCACTAGTGAATGGAGTTAATGCATTCATCCTGACATTAGAAACAAACAGCAGCAAATCTTATCCTGTCACCTCTATCTTAAAACCTTTGAATGGCCTCTCATTGACTGAAGGCTCTATATGATTTGGCCCTTTTTTCCTTCTACAGCTTTATTGCTGCTACCTTTATTCTACATTCCAGATGGACTGTACAAGTTCTGGTAGACTTTCTTTCATTCCCAAATTTTCATCCATGCCACATACTTTGTTAGATGCCCCCACACTAGCCTAAATATCCTTTTCACTTGGCTAGCTCCTATTCATTCTTCAGATCTCATTACTTTTTCATAAAGACCTTCCCTGACTGTTGAACTAGGTTATGTGTACATAGTTTCTTGTACTTGCTCTGTCAACATTTATTATATTTTTTAAGACATCTTTTTTGAGAACTAATTTACATATCATAAAATTACCTATACAAAGTGGTTTTTGGTATATTCACAGGTATGTGTGACCATTATCACCACAGTTGATTTTAGAACATTTTCATGAATTCAAAAAGAAACCTTGTACCCTTTAGTTATCACCCCCCTTTTCCCTCCCTCCCTCCCAGTCCTAAAATACCACTAATCTACTTCCTGTCTCTGTAGATTTGCCTATTCTGGATATCTCATATAAATGGAATCATAGGATATGTGACCCTTTTGACTGGCTCCTTTCACTTACCATAATGTTTCAAGGTTCATTCATGTTGTAGTGTGTATCATTGTGTTTTTCTTTTTATGGCTGGATAATATTCCATTGTATGATTATATCACATTTATTTACACTTGTTACATTTTATTGTAATTGCTTTTAATGTCCGTCTGTCCCCCTAGACTGTCCCCCTAGACATGTAAATTCCATGAAGGCAGGGCTATGTGCATCTTAATCACTTTATCCACAGAAATTATTTATTGAATGGGTGCATAACTTTACGAAGTAGTCTGTTGTCTCTGTTATCTACAGAAGTTCTTGTTTGTTTTCACACAACTGCCTGAAGCCCAAAAGTGGGCCTCCCAGTCCTAATGTTCTAAAGGAGTTGGTCACTGTTTTGGGGCTCTTTAAAGATTCATATGGCTCATGGGAGTGTTAGAGATCCTCACTGTGTTTGTATGTTCATTTACTCAACAAATATTCATTAGGTATTTATTGGCAACTTTCTTGTGGCAGACAGTGTTAGGTGGTGGGGTTATAATGGTGAACAAGATAAACATAGTCCCTGTTGTCCTGGGGACCACATTCTAGTTGGGGGAGACAGACAATAAACACAAAAAATAATATAATTTTAGGTAGAAGTAAATGCTATGAAGACATTAACAGAGCATGAAACAGGTGACTTGGTAATGATGGTAGGGAAATACTTCGGCTAGGCTAGCCAGGAAAATGCTGTGAGGAGGTGACATTTGAGCAGAGGTCTGAATGATGAGAAGAAGGTGGCCACATGAAAATCTGAGAGAAAAACATTTCATAAAGAAGGAACAGGTACAGAGGCCCTGAGTTGGGAATGAACTGGATATGTTCAAGGGTTAAAAAGAAGGCTGGTGTGGCTGAGTGTGGTAAATGAAGGAGAGAGTAGCAGGAAATGAAACTGGAGAGACTGGCAGAGGCTGAATCATGTAGGATCCTGCAGGTCATCGAAGAAAATATGCAATTAGAATGAAATCCACAGGGAAGCCATTGGAGAGCATCAGGCAGGAAAGTGACACTATGATTTAATACATAAATTAACTGTATTTATTATATTGGATTGTATCTCTAAGGTCCCTTGCCATTTTAGCAGTCTAACTCTAGGTTATCTGCATCTGGGCTTTATTTTGGCTGAATTTCACAATTTTCCAACATTAATTTTGGTCTGAGACCTTCAACATTGGCTGGTAATCCATTGGGGGGAAGCATATTACCACTCTGTTTGTATAAAAAGTGCCCTTATTCTGTTACTGTTGGCTCGAAAAAAGTGGTTATGATAATTATCTTGAGTATTCTAATCTATAGGATGGGATAGGGGACATTTATAAGTTTGGATTCTCATATTATTGTCTTATCCAAATATATCCATTTTTTAGTATAGTGGTGGATTTTACTTTACCAGTGGAAGGGCAGAATAACATTTTCAATGACCCAGTGCCTAACATACAGGAGTTACTTAATAGATATTTTAAAACAGTCCGTCCACTAAATAGGAACTGTTTCTGTTGGCTGAATTCACACACCATCAGTTTACGACCTTTGGTATGCATAATTTGTCATTTAATTTTAATAACCACTCAGTGGGTGTGTGTAGGGCTCCCACTGTATAAAACAGGAAACCTAAACTCAAAGCAATTCACATTGTTCCTCATGTAATCCTGAAAGCATTTGCATGAGGTAGTCCACGTTTCTGATGAAACAGAAGGATAGTGACTTACCCACCTCCCTATTCCCTTACCCTACTTCCGTTTTCCTACTAGAATTTGTCATTTCTGAATATAATATATATCAATCTGTGTATTTGTTTATCAGCTCTGCTGGAGTATGCACTCCATGAGGGGAGGAGCTGTATAAGTTCTCTCTTCCTGTATAACCAATCACTCCAAAACTCGGTGCCTTAAAACAACAAACATTATCTCGCTGTTCCGTGGGTCAGGAATTGAGAAGCAACCTAGCTCCATGATTTCAGCCTAGATTCTCTCATGAGATTGTAGTCAGATGTCAAGCTAGGGCTGCAGCCATCTGAAGGCTTGGCTGGAGCTGGGATATCTGCTTCAAAGATCACTTACATGGCTTTTGGCAGGAAGCCTTATTTTCTCACCATTTGGGCCTCTCCTCATGACAGGACAGCTGGCTTTCTCTACTGTGAACAATTCAAGAGAGAAAAAGAAGCAAAAGCCTTTTAGATATAAAACATCTTTTACAACATAACGTGGAGGTGACAGAGTACTGCTGTATTCTCTTGGTGACACAGACCTCTCCTTGGATGTTGTGGGAGGGGTTACACAAGGGTATGAATAACTGGCGGTGGCTTTCATTGGGGTCATCTTGGAGGCTGGCTGCCACAGGTACTTCTCTGGTTTACTATAATAGTAATATTACTACTAATAATATTACTATAATAGTAATAATAGTAAACTAGAGAAGAGTATAGTAAACATCAAGAAAGAGTACCTTGCATATAGAAGGTGCTTAAATATTTGTTGAATGAGTAGGTAGATTCAGAGTACATATGAATTCAAAATGTATGTCTTTAGAAAAACAGCATTCATGGAGCCATAAGTTGTTGGAGAGGGACATGGAAAAGGAGTACTAAAATAAAAGTTATTGTCAGTTATAAATAGTAAGGGGAAATCACTCTGTTTTTTATTATGTCCCTCAGATGTGGAAACATGAGGGATTTTTTGCACTCTATAAAGGATTTTGGCCAAACTGGCTTCGACTTGGACCCTGGAACATCATTGTATCCTTTTAGAATATGAGAATGAAATCAGATGCTTCAAGCTCCCAGGTAATTCTAGATTATGGGAAGGAAAATTTGATTATTGACACCTTTAGGCAAGTGAGAAACTGAAGCATTCTAATTGTGACCATTGAGGATGGAACTAATAGAGAAATGACTTTCAGCTGGAGTCTAGTACAAACTGAAGGCAGCAGAAAAGATATACCAAAATTTCCTCTTTAAAACAGAACAAGTACAACCAAATCTGGAAGGGGTTATGAAGTTTTTGGAAACCCTGTTGGGATTTGCCCTAGGAAAGTACATGCTGAGGTGGTCCATATTTCCTACTCCTAACTATAGGACCAAAGTAATGGGAAATAATAAGACAGAAAACACTCTTAGAGCAAAGGAATCCAGGCCAAGTAGGGCTGTTTCCTCATGGGTGGATTTCCTTTCTTTAGCCGTGTTTGAGTGCCTCCTCTGTGTAGAGAGATGAATTGGATATTGTGTGTAGTTTATGTGTATAGTGTTGAGTATTGCAGGGTTGAAAAATAATTCCTTGCCCTTGCGGAGACTATAGGTTGATGGAGATAGTATCTCTTCTCCCTCCTTGGGATTGATCTAATCACCTAAAGTCTGTAACAGTTACTCTTAGCATGGAATTATATGTTGTCATTAATATTCTTCGGGGTGGAGGTGGTGGTGGTGGGTGTGTCTGTGTGTGCGTGTGTCTGTGTGTGTCCTGTTTGCCCCTGAAGACGATAAGTATGTTAGTTTTAATCTGTTTTTATTACTACATGCCAAATCATAATGGGGACATGGTGGGCACTCAGCACATGCTTGACTTGCCAGGTATTGTTTTTAAAAAGACTTACGCAAGTGCAACTCAGAAGAGCCCAGACTAAATACCTCAATGTAAGAGAATGCAGTACACAATTTTAGAACTTGGTTAGGTTTTCACTATCAATCCAGTGATCTTCCATGACTTACTCTTCAGTTTTTTATTACATACGAGCAGCTCAAGAGGCTTCAGATCTAAGGACTGAATTATATGTGAGCCAAGCCCTGCCAACCTTTCTACTCTTTTCCCTTTTTCTGTGTTCTAATGTATTTTGACAAAGTTGTGTTTACTGAACCACTGGTCTCCCAGGAGCCTCCTGATGGAAGAACTATAGGATGGTTCAAAATTGTTCATGTGTTTGTGTTACCATGTTAACTTTTTCCCTGAGAGGAAGTGTTAACATTGAGACTCTGGCCCCAGATTGGTATCTTCTATGAAGATGGATACTGATGGATGACATTCAACATGGCCTTCTTTTCAAATGTTGGTTAAATGTAGTTGGTTAGCCCCAGACTTGGGCTAGAGCAGAAGGCATAGGCCAGGGCAGTTACTGCTATGTATGTTTCAGACCTCGGTTCTCATTAAAGTATTTATTGGCAGAATCACTTTGGCTTTGTTTTCATTTACTGCTTTCTCTTTTGCCAGCTATTTAAGTTACATTCTCCAGAAAGTGATAAAGGTTACTATGAAATTGAGTCTGGACTCTTAAAGCACATTTATGGGAATAGACAAAGTGCATTGTGTTTTCCCACTGCCACTCGTCGTCATAATGCTACTTACTTGTAAACATCTGGTAAATGGTTCTTTCCTAAGCATGAATAACCAAACAAGTGGCTCATTTGGAAGTTTCTACAGATTAAATGTAAAAAGAGGCTTAAAATAGAACCTTGTGTCCAGGGTTCTAATTGTCTTATAGGCAAAAAGTTTTGGCTACTTTCTTGTACTAGAAAAGTGCCTAGCACATTGTAGGCACTCAGATATTTGTGGATGGAACTAGAGGGTGTTGGTATTACGCTAAGCGAAATAAGTCAATCAGAGAAAGACAAGTATCATATGCTCTCACTCATATGTGGAATTTAAGAAACAAAACAGAGGATCATAGGGGAAGGGAGGGAAAAATAAAACAAGATGAAATCAGAGAGGGAGACAAACCATAAGAGACTCTTAATCATAGGAAACACTCATATGTGGAATATAAGAAACATTGCAGAGGATCATAGGGTAAGGGAGGGAAAACTGAATGGGAAGTCATCAGAGAGGGAGACAAACCATGAGAGGCTCTTAACTCTAGGAAACAAACTGAGGGTTGCTGGAGGGAAGGGGGCTGGGGGGCTGGGGTGATTGGGTGATAGACATTAAGGAGGGCACATGATATGATGGGTGTTACATGCAACTGATAAATTATTGAGCATGACATCTGAAACTAATGATGTACTATATGTTGGCTAACTGAATTTAAAATAAAATAAAAATTTTTAAAAATTTAAAAAAATCACAGGAAACAAACAGGGTTGCTGGAGGGGAGGGTTACTGGAGGGAGGGGTGGGTTGCTGGATGGGATAGCTGGGTGGTGGACATTGGGGAGGGTGCGTGGTGTGGTGAGCACTGGGTATTATATAAGACTGATGGATCGCTGAACTCTGCCTCTGAAACTGGTGATGTACTGTATGTTAATTAATTGAATTTAAATTAAAAAAATTAAAAAGTATTTGTGGAATGAATAGTTTAGCTCTTCATCTTTATCCATTCATTGATTTGTTCAACAAACATTTATTGTGTGTCTATTATGTCCTAGATGCTGGGAATATAAAAGTAAGTTAAGAGAGAGTTTCTGTTTTCAAGCTCACATTATAGGAGGAGAAAGAGATATGTAAGTAGATAATTATAGTAGGTACTAAGTACTATGTGAAAGATGAACAAAGTGCTAGAAGCACGGAGAAGGGAACAGCCAGTTACCTAGGGGATTGGCCAAAGGCTTCATAGCAGAGATGACATTTGAGGTAAATAGCAGATGTTACCATATGGATAAGGCAGGGAAGGACATTCCAGGCAGGGAAATAGGGGAAAGTTCAGTAGCTAAAATGTAGGGCAGTGGTTTTCAAATACTGTGTGAGGCAGAATCTCCTGGAGATCTTGTGAAAATGTAGATTCTTACATTCCATTGCCCTCCTAACCTTATCTGGGGCAAAGGCATTTGCTTTCATCACGGATACTTGACACAGGTGGTCCTTGGACTACACTTTGGGAAGCACTTGTACAGAACTGTGGGCTGGAATGAAATGAAATAAGAATACTGTGACCAAAAGGGTCAAATTATGAGGGATCTTTATATGCACTAGGAAAGAGTTTGACTTTCTTATCCTGGAGTGGGGGGTAGGCAAAGGAAGTTAAAAATAGGGGAATAATATAACCAGCTTTTAATTTTAGGAAGATAACCCTGTTGTGGAGGGTAGCCTGGAGGGGAGCAACCCAAAAAAGGTTAAGACCCACTGAAATCTACTCCTTTTTATGTACAGGTAGATAAAATACGGTCCACAAAAACGAAGACAATTTGCCCTAAGTCACATAACTGGATTGTGGCAGATTTGAGACTAGCGCATAGTTCTCAGATTTCTTCTCTGTCTCATTCTACCACTCCACAGTGCTTTCTTAACTATCAGTTTAAAGTACTATCTTTTTAAAATTAATTTTAATATACTTTATTTTTTAAAAATATTTTATTTATTTATTTGACAGAGAGCATGCACAAGCAGGGGGAGCAGCAGACAGAAGGAGAGGGAGAAACAGGCTTCCTGATGAGCAGGGAGCCCAATGCGGGGCTCGATCCCAGGACCTGGGATCATAACCTGAGCCGAAGGCAGTGGCCCAATTGACTGAGCCACCCGGCGCCCCAAATAGACCTTATTTTTAAAAGAAGTTTCAGGTTCACAGCAAAATTGTGTGGAAGGTACAGAGATTTCCTGTGTACCCCTAACCCTACTTTGAAATTCATCACCAGAGTGATTCATTTGTTACAGTTAGTGAATCTACAATGGCATATTATTATCACCCCAAAACCATTATCTACATTAGGATTCACTCTTAGGGTTATGCATTTTGTGGGTTTTGACGTGTGACATGTATCCATTGTTATAGTATACAGAATCGTTTCACTGCCCAAAAAATCCTCTGTGCTCTGCCCATTTATCCTTCCCTCTCCCCTAACCCCTGCAGTCCACTGATCCTTTTATTATCTCTATATTTTTGCCTTTTCCAGAGTGTTAGACAGTGGTATGTAGCCTTTTCAGATTGGCTTTTTTACTTAGTAATATGTACTTAAGTTCTTGTCTTTTCATGCCATGTCTTTTCATGGCTTGATAGCTCACTTACTTTTTCTTTTCTTTTGGATGTACCACAGTGTATTTATCCATTTACCTACTAACGCATGTCTTGGTTGCTTCCAAGTTTTGGCATTTATGAATAAAGCTGCTATAAATAAATACGTGCAAGTTTTCGTGTGGACACAAATTTCAACTCATTTGGGTAAATACCAAGAAGTACAATTGCTGGATGGTATTGTAAGAGTATGTTTAGTTTTGTAAGAAACTGCCAAACTGTCTTCCAATAGTAGCTGTACTATTTTGCATTCCCACCAACAATGAACAAGAATTGCTCTTTCTCCACATCCTTGCCAGCTTTTGGTGGTGTCAGTGTTTTGGATTTTGACCATTCTTTTAGGTGTGCAGTGGTATCTCATTGTTTTTTTTCTTATCAGTTGTCACTTTAAAAAGTTTTTTAAAGTTTTCAACTTTAATTTCAGGATAGTGAACATATAGTGTTATATTAGTTTCGGGTGTACAATATAGTGATTCAGTAATTCTATACATTACTCATTACTCATATGATGAGTGTACTCTTACTCCTCGTCACCTAGTCCACCCATCCCCCCACCTCCCCTCTGGTAACCATCAGTTTGTTCTCTATAGTTAAGAGTCTGTTCCTTGGTTTGTCTCTTTCTTTTTTTTTTTTTTAAAGATTTTATTTATTTATTTGAGAGAGAGAGAATGAGAGACAGCACGAGAGGGAAGAGGGCAGAGGGAGAAGCAGACCCCTTGCTGAGCAGGGAGCCCGATGTGGGACTCGATCCTGGGACTCCAGGATCATGACCTGAGCCGAAGGCAGTCACTTAACCAACTGAGCCACCCAGGCGCCCGGTTTGTCTCTTTGTTTTTTCCTTTGTTCATTTGTTTAGTTTCTTAAATTCCACATATGAGTGGAATTGTATGGTGTTTGTGTTTCTCTGACGGACTTATTTTGCTTGGCACTATACTCTCTAGCTCCATCCATGTTGTTGCAAATGGCAAGATTTCATTCTTTTTGATGGCTGAATAATATTCCATTGTGTACATATGCTTTTTAAGACTACTACACTAGTCAGATACCCTACTCATTCCTGAATAGATTAGCAAAAAGGAAGTCATTTTTTCACAAGGGTATAGACTGGAAGGTAGTTTCTTAAAGGGTTTATATATATTGGAAATTGGCATTCTATTCACCTCAGCTTAAATGTTATTCCTTTGGGAAAACCTTACATTGATTTTCTCTCTACCAATCTAACTTTCTTCATTATAATTCTTTTTTTTTTTTTAAAGATTTTATTTATTTGACAGAGAGACACAGCAAGAGAGGGAACACAAGCAAGGGGAGTGGGAGAGGGAGAAGCAGGCTTCCGCTGAGCAGGGAGCCTGATGCGGGACTTGGTCCCAGGACCCTGGGATCATGACCTGAGCTGAAGGTAGATGCTTAACGACTGAGCCACCCAGGCGCCCCTCATTATAATTCTTATACCACATATTTATAACTACATACTATTATTTGTGTGATTATTTGATTAATATCAATATCTCCCATTAGTCCGTAAGCTCCATAAAAATAGGGATTCTGTTGATTTTGTTTACTGCTGTGTTCTCCATGCCTAGCACATATACTCAGTAAATATTTGTTAAATGAAAAAATGAATTTATCTGTATCCAAAGAGCTGATAAAATGCCTAAAACATGGCAAAGATTAAACAAATACTGTGGGATTTAAATGGAATGAAATTAAGTTTTGAATTACTAGATAAGGATGGAATGATAAAGAATAGGTTATTAAGGATAAATAGAGGTGCTTGGGGAGGGAGATGCACCTAATCTTTTATTTATTATTGTTATTGTTATATAATAAAGTAGGCTCCATCTCCAGTGTGGAGCCCAACGCAGGGCTTGAACTCATGACCCTGAGATCAAAACCTTAGCTGAGATCAAGAGTTGGATACTTAACCCACTGAGCCAGCCAGGTGCCCTGATACACCTAATCTTTTTAATTGATTATCTGTTCAATCATTAAACAAATGTCCCTGCCTCCTTGAGCTTACTGTGTACAGAAGGGAGATATAACAAAAAGATTAATGAGTAAAATATATAGTTTACTGGATGGTGATAAGTCATTTACAGAAAAATAAAGCAGGGGAGGGGGAATATTGGGGTAAGGTCACATACCGAGAAAGCCAAATATAAGTCTATGGGGGTGAGAAAAGGAGCCATTCTAGGGTTAAAGCAAATGCAAAGGCTCTGAGGTG